GGGCTACTATATTTGGGCAAAAATGGCCGCTCCCAGACTCCCAGATTTACACTAAATTCATTAAATCACGTATCAAATGATCAAACGTATAAAGGTATGAGTAATGATCCAGTGGTTATTCCTTGCTGACTGGACTTTTAAGACTTTTTTAAAGATTAATCTCAAAGTTTAGAATCAACAGAAATGTTCTGTTATAGTTTATTAGATTTCAGCTGATAAATAAGATGATCTGAAGATGTCCTTAAATTAGATCATTAATTAGGTCCTTGAAATAAGGTCATGGAATTATTTCTTGTTTCAAATATAAAACATATATTTTCCAAAGATCAAACTGTTTTATCTAAATGCTCCAAAAAAGAGAAAATACTTTTTTTTTTTTTTTTGCAGAGTAGTGAGACTTAAGATCATTTGACACTGAGAAAATAGATCTTTTTCAAATAGATCTTTTCCTTTTACTTTGAGCAGGAAAATAAGATGATCTGAATATAGAAGGAGGATTTTTCCTCTTAGAATAAGATCAATAGGAGTTTTTTTAACGTTAAATGTTATATATTCCATTGGCAGATGTCGAATGTTCAGTTAAAATTCCTTAAAAAGGAGAATTTTCTGTGAAATCTGGTTTCTTCAATCCGTGGAAAGAAACGTTGGATAAGAACGATAGTTTTACTGTCGCCGATGAATCCGATGGTTGAACAGTTGAACTGAATGTAAGTGGAAGGGAAGGGCGGCGGGTTTTGGAACTCACCCGCTGCTCCTGGACTCTCATCTCTCTCTCCAGCAGCTCCGACATGTAGCTGACAGCCAGGACTACGTGGTTCACCCCGGCCTGCAAACAACGGACCCAGGGACACGGCGACCGATCAATAGAGTTCAACATCAACCCGGTCAGCATCGCCAGCGGCTCCTCCTCACCTTGACCAGCGCCTCCACCTGGTGCAGCAGAATGGGCTTGTTGCAGAACTCCACCAGCGGTTTGGGGACGCTCAGGGTGAGCGGCCGCAGCCGCGTCCCGTAGCCGCCGACCAGGATCAACGCCTTCATCCTTCAGCCGTTAGCAGCAGTGAGAAGAGATGGAAGGAGGGGGGGGGACGGGGGATGCCTGAGAAAACGGGGGAAACCGGGAATGATGAGCTGGACTTCAAACAGCTGCTGTAATTCATCATTAATTCTGTTTAAACGCCTGGAGACACATTAGAGCCTCAGTTAGGTTGACAAGTTTTCTATTTATTCTAGAAAAGTCAGAATCTTTCTTCTCAAATATCAACTCAGCACTAATAAAAAGTTCAGTTTGCATATTTCACATCTTGAATTTTTCCGTCATTTTTATTATAAAACTTAAAAATGATTCATCAAGCTCTGCCACCGTCAACTTTAAGCAGCGGCAGAGGACGGATCTCACAACAGCAGAAATTATAATTTAATCGCATCAGCTGAAAAGATTTTACCCAAATTCTAATAAACTTTTACAACAAAAACGTTCACTAGATGGGGGGCTCATAAAGTGGACGGCGTGAGAGGATTTTCACAATCATTGTGAGCCCTGAGGTACATGTAGGAGCAAAATATATCATACATTATATAAATATGAATGCCACATTAAAATCTGTTAATGTTATACTTAGTTATTTCTCTAATACAATATTAAAATATTTATTACACTGTTAAATGCTTCATTAAATAAAAATCTAAAATGATTAATTTAATTATTAAATATCATTAAAAAAAATTAAAGATGTTTAGTGAACGTCATGTTCATAAATCAAGTAATTATGTGTATTTTTATGCGGTCGTTATGCTTATTTTTGGAATCAGGGCTGCAACTAACTGTTATTTTCCAAATCAATTAATCTGTTAATTATTTTTTCAATTGTTTTATTATTAAATGGATATCCAAAGATTCCTTAATGATAAGACTTTTAATAAAGTTAAACCAGGTAAAACTAAAACTTTCTCACTTGAGGAGTTCTAAATAGAACAGATCAACAGACTTTCTTTTAAATCTTAAATGCAAAATGTTGATTATTTATTTATTTTATGATAAAAAATTTTTTTTAAATATTGGTATTATTAAGTACTCTAAGTGGGTTTCTCTGTCATTTTTAGAGTCTCTAAACTCCAGTTAAGGATTAATCAATTACTAAATTAGTTCATGATTAATTAATCAGATTAATTGTTTCAGCCGTAGATTACAGGCTGAAATGTTTGGGAAGTTAGGATAGGCTGAAACCTTAGAAAACTATAAAAATGGTTTAAAAATCATTCCAAAAAAGTTAAAAATAAAGAAATAATAAATAAAAAAAACAATCCACTGGACTTTGTTTCCATGTTTGAAGACGTTTCTCTTCCATCCTGGAAGATTTTTTTAATCAAAATGTCAGAAATAGAGTTGAGTTCCAGGTTTTATATAGTAGCCCAAACTCTGGGCTCTTTATAAACTGTTATAAATAAACAGTTTTTAACTCAGCTTCATCTTAAAAACAGCGAAACCAACGATCAGCCAGTTTATTTCAGCTGGGATGGAGTGATGTTAGGAAACATGTCTGCTGTCAAACTGTGGACTCTGGTCACATGATTTCATTCCCTCATAAGGAAATCAGGCATGACTTTTATTTAAATCTGTGTTTCTGACTCCATGTGTGGCTGTGAAGCTTCAGCACATCCAGTTTCTGAATAATATCTGTCAATAAAACAAAACAAAACAGCTCAGATGATAAAAACTGGGACTTTTCAATGAAGTTTGATTTAAGTAAGGAGAACTGGTGCCAACATTTACATAAAAACATTGAACCAGGATTAGAAATTATTTATGGACCTATAATGTTCTAAATTTTATTTTATTTAGCTAAACTTCTCATGTTTAGTTTAATCAACAGACTCATTTTTATCAGGTTTTCTTTTCATAAAGCATTTTATTCCTCTTTACAGCTCACCTAATTAGAAAATAACCTTCATTTTGATATTATACTATATTTGATATTACATAAATATATATACATATGGCTCTTTTCATAAATTGTAGAAAATGAGCATGTTTTTAAATGATCAATACTTAAATTATCACCAGAAATGAAACTAGACGCTCCATTCCCAGAAAGTTTGTCAAAATCTTCACCAAACACAGAAGCTAAAGTCCAAATAGCAAAACACTCAAATATAATAAAGTCTGAATAAAAATAGGTGAATAAAATAAAAACTGAAATCAAGTTTCATGGAGTTTGAGCTCAGCTAGCTGCTTTAGCTTGATTTATCTGGCAGAATAGATCAGAAACTGGAGGCTAGCTGCCGATTAATCAGGTTTCGTGAGTAAATAACTGTGTGTAAATAATTTAGAGGGATTAAAACTTACTGTGAGCTGACCAATGAAGGTGCTGGGCAGATTCCTGAATGACTGAAACTCTGAAAATGACACGTAACATTCCTCAAACCCGAATCCCTTGTTTGGCTTCCGGTTCTGCAGCTTCCTCTCGAAACGCCGAAATTACACATTCAACATCCGGTCAGTACTTTCACAATAAGGGCCGTTTTCGAAACAAGTCAAAC